AAAACATATTTTCCTCCCATGAGCAACCCTTTTTCCCAAAAGTACAAGTCTGTATGGAATGAACACAGATATTTATCCATAATATTACTTGAGTCCATACCGACAGATGGTTAAGACCGCAACTATATTCTCTCCCTTTGAGCATAAATTATAATAACATGCTAAATCTTTGTATAGTTCTATATCAGATACCAGTATGATGAACCTTACTTTTGTACCATTTAAGTTATAGCAAAATTCAGCTTTCATTGACATACAGAAATGGGTCAGCCTTTAGTCCCCTCTTAATGAAAATAGAAGGGGACTAATAACAACAATTTATTCTCATAGTTTCAATTCTCAGGTTTATTACTTATCATTACACCAGGCAAGCTAAGATACATGTTAAAACCACAGGCACTATATACCACATTTACACATATACGCTCATAATACTATATATAAAGAATAAAGGTCCCTAACGAGAGAAAAATATCATGCAAAACAAACAAGAACTGTTCGGTAAAAATACACCAGATCACTATTTTATCTTTGTGGTTGTCTCTAGGAATAAAGTATCCTATCATAAACACTTTTTACTTCATCGAAATCCTACAAAATGCTCCAAAATACGAGCAAGTTTCCAAATTTCACTGAAATGTCATTGCATGTCGTTTTCGACGTCCAAGCGATGCGTGTAAACAAAGGTGAATTCTGGTCAATTTCTACAAAATCAACGAATAACTGTTAAGATTTCGTCATACTTTCTTTAAGGCAACTTGTATACAGTCAAACTGCGATGTCTTTACTTCACAACTGTCCGACGATAACACTAACAAGCTAAAAAATTAAAAATAATTGACAGCTCCGTTCCAGAAAGTAACCATTTCTTACATTACCGCACTGAATATAAGGTAAAGTAATGATTGGTTAAGCGGAAAATCCGAGTTTCAACATTTTCCTTCAACACAATGTTCATGACTGGCCTTTACTATTGACAGGGGATTCAATTCAGACTAGCCCTCTAAAATACTCCAACTAGTCCAAAGTGTTAATGGTGCCTATACAGTTATGATCAATACATCTGGAAACTGGAGATTCCCACTGAGTGTGATGCTTATCTTCATTCGCTTGACAGTGACACATGTCCACCTTAAAAAAAAAGCAATAAAAATTATATGAAGTGCAATAATTTGCAAAAAAATGCTTATCTTATTTGTCTCTTCTTACATTTATAATGCAGAGCACTAGATTTGTGTGTCAGTCATACAAAATGACTTTCAATAATACTATTTAAATATATTTGAAATACAATTTCTTTAATAAATACTCATATAGTAATACTAAATTCCTTTTTTGTGATATTTTTTCTGACACATATGTGCAGACAGTACATTGTGTACACCGGTCTTACTGACCTGTGTGATACCATTCTAAGCATGATGCCAAGAAAATTTTGGACTTGTGAGAGGCTGTTAATGACCCCAGATTGATCATAAGGTTATGTGTAGCCAACGCTGAAAAGCATTTGACTATATCTCAATCCATTGAGAAGTGGCATCACTTTGAAATCAATTTTGATTGAAAAAATCGAGGCAAAATAGTGATTTTGGGCAATTTTGAGATGTCCCCTCGTTGCCATGGTAACAGAAAATTTAAGCCTGAGCATGTTGTTGCAAGGGCAATGGTCCAGTCAACATTTGTGCCAAGTTTGATTAGTGTTGAAGCAGTTTTTTATAGTATTATAGCAATTTGAACTTGTAACGGGAGACTTTTCAATGAAAACAGCCATTTTTCACAAAATGCTCATGAAGTAATGGGTTAAGAAATTTTGCATCTTGATTGGGAAAAATATTTAGTACCATGTACAAAGTTGTTAATCCAACAAATTGTATATCATTCAAAGCATAAAAAATACATAAAAAAATACATAAAAAATTGACAATGGAATGTGTTTTTGAACATCATCTGTCTGGTACCATATTGGATTGAAATGGAATGAAGAAAAATTGTCAGCTTTGATAACGGGAATTTTGACTTATGATTTTTTTCTAAACTTGGAAAAGAAAAAAAGCATATTTGGCATTATTTGCCACTGGGAATGGGTCTGTTAATCTGACCCGTGGTGACACTGGTAAAAATGCATGTTTTCATTAATTTTTTTTGAAAACAGTTTGGTTTGTGAAATATACATTAAATATTATATAAGTACCTGTTGTTTGTAATAATCTTCTAGTCTTTCTTTAATCTTATACTGTACTTTTTTCTAGCTACATGTACCAGCCTTTCCAAGTAAATATTAAAGTAAATAATCTTTTATTTCCCTGAAAATATCAATGTAGAGATTTCATTTCAAAATCATCCAATACTACTCTCTTAGTGTGTGTATATACAGAGACATATAAATACATTTTATGTATTTTAACGTCTCTGGTATATACAATGTATATATGTGTCTACACAATGAATATATATGTTTACACTATAATATGATTGTGTACAGCATGTAATGACATAATTAAAATTTGAAAAATTTATGATAATAAAATATCAATAATATTCTTCATATTACTCCACAGTATTACCACTAAAATAGAAAATGTTCTATCATTTTATTATGATATCTATTTTTTACATGTAGATCTAGATTTGTGAAAAAAATGTGAATATCAGTAGTGTCAAAAATTGTTAAATCATAATTATAAAATGTCTAATTAACACTGATAAATTACTTCAACCATTGAGAACAGGTATAGATCATTTCCAACAGTCTTGCTGTTGTGTTGACATTTTCACGACATGGTTGTGTGTCTGCCTTGTAATCAAGAGGTCTGGGGTTCAAATCCCTTCTAAGTGCCTGAAGATTTTTTAGGTTAACAATTATCAAGGTGGCAGTGATTTTTTTTTCAACTTTCAAAACAACCTGTGGCTTTATAAATGGGAAACTATAGCTTGATTAATCAGAAATTGGGAAAAATTTCAACCACTGAAAATGGAATTTACCCATACATTTAAAAAAAGTGTAATTCAATTTAAAGGGGTTCCATTGAGGTATTTTGTCATGATGGGACTGAAATATTTTTTCCAGATAAATGTACCATTTGATGAATGTTTAGAACACTAATCTTTGTACAAACCTTTAGATCATTTGCGCACTTTGTTTTTCCAGAATAGTTATTCAAATTGTAAAAAGATGACCCAAAATGAAATGACTAGACTTTAAATAGATAGGTCAAAATAAAATTATTCTGAAATATTCAAGAATGTGGCCCATTTGGTAGAGACGTAACGGCCGTGACAAGACCAAAAAATTGTAGGCGTATATGCCGGTTTTCCTGTAAAGGCAGACATCTGTGTAATATCAATTTGTAAAATCTGTCGGTTTTGCAGTCTAAGTATGATCGAAATGTCTTGGGTACGAAAGACTCGAGATCTCCAAATTACTTTGAAATTATTTACGAAAGTTTTAGTCCTCGGAAACAAATTGGCATCAATAAATAAACTTAATATTATTAGTCATCAAATTCATAACATATTTTGCTTTATAACATACCTTATGAGCTTAACAGGCTGATAATTATGCTCGTGAGGTAGGTCGAAAAATATACCGGAAGTTGTCGGATTCATTTAACCTAATTATCGGCTAATTCAGAGACGAATATATTATCTACATCTCTGGCTAATTCTATTTCAATATCCACTTTGCAATTATAAACTACAAAATTTATCCGATAAATAATGTCTTTTTCAAAAATTCTGGAATATAATACAAAAAAATGTGATGATAAGGCGGATGAGTAAGTTAAATATTTGCAAGCCGTCAAGCACTATGACCCAATTAATTTACTATCCCATTCATAGAATTATGTGACCTTTCAAATTATATCCGCTACGTTTCTAATACCGTAATTCAAGCTCAATTGCACATTATTTTCAAAAAATAAATTTCTTGTCTCCACTTCTGTTCGCAATAAATCGAAGTTTTCAGAAATTCAGAGCACTATTTTTCACTCGCGGCGGTTATGCGTCGGTCATGGTCGGGTGATCACTATGAATTCAGCTTAGCTTGATATGTTAGAATACAATATAGCATTTAGAGTGGCGATGAAACGTCACAGCAGTGGGCGTTACCCTGTATGGTTGGAAATTTCGGGTTTGTAAGTGCACTAGTTGGGACTACGTCCCAACTAAAAATGGGTAAGCTGAATACCTTAAGCTATCATATATGTAGCATTTCGATAAAATACAATAAAAAAAAATAAAAGTAAAACTACTTGCAGGTGCATGAAGTCTAGGAGCCACTTGAGACTGTTTATGCCAACTACCTTGAAATTTTGGGTTCCATGGAAATATGAGGCATCAGTATACTTTAAATTTTCTGTGGCTGCTAGTAAAAGCTGCACATATCAGTGCTACTATTTCTAAAACTGTCACACTAAATTGCATAGAATCCTGTGCTACAGTGCGAATGATCGATAGAAGGATTTTATGACTAATCAAAGACAAAACCGTCCGGGAATCGAACCAGCCGGGTCGCCCATTTGGTGTTCAACGTTCTACCTATTGATATTACCGAACCTCTTTTCCAGTACCCGCTGAACAAGATTTGTTCCGTTGTACGAAGATTTTAGAAAACAATATATCAAAGCATATTTTTATAGAAGACCAAATGTTATTAAATTTACAGAGCTTTTTAAGAGTGATAATCAAGCTATAATTAGAAATCTTTCCAAATTTGTTTACAATGCTTTTATACTTAGAAAGTCTTTGCTATGTTAACTTTGCCAATTTTATGGAAGGAATTTATTTCACTTTGATTTTGTTTATGATATTGATCCATATATATGTAAACATCTTATTCATCCTCCACAAACAATATGTTGACAATGTAAATTGTGTTCACTGTTTGTTAAATCACATGATAAAATTATGATATTTATGTATATGCAATTGTATGACAAAAAACTGTATTGTTTACGTCAATAAAATTATTTATCTATCTATCTATCTTAAAAACCTACCTTTTACAATGTTTTGTTAATTTTCTTGGCTCGCGAAATCAAATTTCGCCACCCATTCTACTTCTGTTGTGAACAATGCAATGACGTCATCAATTTTGTTTGGTTATAGACTGTGTCCCATTTAATTATTTAAACGCCAAATGGATTAAATTACCGGAAACATATTATTTGTCTGAGAAAGTATTTTTTATAATGATAATATATTTCAATCGAGTTCTTTACGCTAACGGTAAAAAAAAATATTGCAATTTCAAAGAAAATCATCAGCAAAGATTTAAGATAATTTTAATTGACTCCTTCCTACATTGCAGATATCCGAGTGTTCTCGAAAAATTACCGAACCTCTTTTCCAGTACCCGCTGAACAAGATGTGTTTCTTAAAAACCCACCTTTTACAATGTTTTGTAAATTTTCTTGGCTCGCGAAATCAAATTTCGCCACCCATTCTACTTCTGCTGTGAACAATGCAATGACGTCATCAATTTTGATTTGATTTGATTTAAGATTTTGAGTTATCTGTTCTTGAAACTTTACATAATGACATGTAGCTGTAATAATTCTGACACACTGATAACGATTGAAAATAAAATAACAAAAAAATAATTAAAAAAAATAAAAACGTAATTATTCGGGGCCTGTGTTAGGTTTTGAGTTATCTGCTCTTGAAAATGGTCTGAAAACAGTAAATCTTTATTTCAGGGGCAGATAACTCAAATAGTAGTACGGTGACTCCCACTTTTTATTTGATGTATTTGTTTCAGAACAAGGTTTTCTTATCATACAAAGTTTAAGAAAATTATTCGCACAAGTTTTGAATTTTTCTTCTTTGCCTATGTAAAAATGGCGCTATTGTAATAAGTGTCTTTGATATCAGGAAGACTGTGATGAAAACTTAAAGCTTATTTGAACCTTCTTGAGTCCTCTTCTCGGTTCCTCGTATGAGGAAACACGGTCGTAACCCAGGCCGGGCTCGAACCTACGACCTCTGTGTTGAGTAGCAGATACGTTGATAATTAAAGCCACCTGAATGTATGTATTCTAGGCTTAATCAGGGTCCATCCGCCCTTTCAAGCACTGAGAGTACGGACCCCGGACATGTAACCATTCTAGCCCGTCAACCAAAAGGTGACCTATAGCCAAATGAAACCCAAGTCCATATGGCGTTACGTCACGTCTATGCACTCTCGAACACGCGTTGATCCATATTTGAGATTCATGAACGTACCACATACTAATTTTGCAACTTTTATTTTTCACCCTTTCGCCGTTACATGAAATAAAACTTCTGATAATTATCAAATTTCAATACGAATGAAACCATTGTATTTTTAATTCATACATTTCTGCAAATTTTGAAACCAAATTTCGATATTTGTCACTCTTTTGCTCAAGTATGTGTACAGAATTTCCAAGTAATTAAGTGCACACTTTCTTTTGCAACTGAGTACACAAGTCCCAGTGTTCAGTGTGAAAATAAACAACTTATTAAGTTTAAATCTATATGTACGATAGTTGGGGTGGACTTAATATGAACGTAGGGAAATCAATGATCGGTATTTAGATTCAATGTAGGGGGTCGTCTCATTGAATTTCCGTCCTGTATATAATACAAAAACATGTGTGAATCATTGCTACCATTATTAAAAACGTAAATACAAATGTATAATAAATTAAGATCTAAATTGAAGAAAGTTAAAGAATTTTGTATATATGTATTCATTTTACCTACAATATAGATTTCTTTTTTCAAAATACTTAATGAATGAATATCAGTGATGAAAATACTTAATCAATAATGATCTCAAGGGTTCTTTTGAATAAACTATTGAGTATTGATGTTTATATATGTACTTAGGCAAAGATGTTCGGTTAGGTTAGAGGTGAATTTAAATGAACGAATAAACTTGTATTTGTTTAAGTACATGGCATGTTCAAAAGGTTCATCCTCAATTGCATTAAATACATTAACAAGAAATTTCAAATTTACAACTATCACATCCCTGAAAAAAAGATAATTGATCGTTACAAAGAATTGGTCCGATTCGATTCAAGCAGGAATTCATAATTTTTCCAATTATACAAGAATGTAGCACACTCCTAACATTGTCTGATCGTCTGTCCGTCTGTCTGAGCGAGTAGAATAACGGGCTGTATAACGAATGTTTTCCTGTCTATATCGGACAAAAAAGTAAAGAAATTACATGCAATTGATTCAAACTTTAATTCAATAGGATGTCCAATAAATAAAATCATCGAAAACGCCTGGCATCTCTAAGGGCGTTTTAAAAGCTCTTAAATTAATATAAGGTGTAATAAAGTATAAAAAGTGATTCTTGACACAATAAATTTACCAAGCTACATATTAGCTAATTGAAGCAACCATGCCATTCAAGTGTTGTAAAAACTGGCCCAATGTAATTTCAATCATTTTTCGGCAGATATGACGTAATTATTTTCTTCTCATAAGTCTCATTTTATATACGATTTAGGTCTTTCTTTATAGATATCGATCTCTCCTTTATTTGTAAATCGTAAAAATTTAGACATTTTACCCACTCGAATAGTAAGTGGAAGTTTAAATGAAAGTATTTTCCTAGCGTTGAAATTAAATCACCGGGTGGGTAGTGAAATAACATCTTCTGTATGTATTAGCGACAGCAGACGACACATAAACAGACTGTTGTTGTCATGGTGGCACGTGAGGTCACATGTACCAATCAAAAAGTAGCATTTGGAAGCTTGCTTTAAAAGTTCAATTGTGTTGTTCATTTAAGAATTTTCAGATCATAAATTGTGACAAACTTATCAATCTTCCAAAACAGGCTAGGTTAAATAACTTAAACATGGTAAGTTTTTAAAGTTTTCTTGTAATGAATAAGAATTCTTTCGTAGTAGTTTCTCTTTCAAACAATCACAATGGACGCTTATAAATATATCTATTGTGTCATAACTGATCAATGTTTAAACTATTGATGACAGTTTATTTAACTTAAAAAAGCGTAGTATTTTAGGCTAAAATAAAGTGTACTTTAAAATGGGTGTTATATTAAATGTACATTAGTTAAATAATTGTCATTTAACTTTTAGAAATTGAATTTTGTTTTTGATAAATGTTAAAAAATAAACAATTTTATTAACTTTTCTTTACATATTTGAAACATAAAATTTCAGCATGATAAATAAATCTACAAATGTAATTATATATTTCCTACCTTTTAAATCGATTCCGTACTGTTCTCGAAACATTTGTTTTCTTATAGATAAAAAAATAAACGAGCGTGAAAGATATAAATTATGATAGGCAGATGTATTTATTTATGTTACGTTTATGTTGACAAATACAATATTTGTTATCACCCGAAATCTAGGATATCTCTATAGATTACTAAGAAAGACCTGGGAAATAAGTAATAATTTAATAAAACCTTGAAAAATAAACTGTTCTATTTTTATAATATAATGTGCTCATAAGGCTCGATTTTATGATGTTCTTGTCGCCAGTGATACTCAATCACCACGAAACTGTTAAGAGTAACCGGAACTTCGCGATGTAAAAATAACTTGCTTAATATTATACAGTCGAGAAAGAATACAATCTTTTGACGCCAGTGAGGAAGCTGACATTCAGACTAAGTCAATAGCATAGTTCAACGCATGCCTGATTCCTGAACCCACCTTAACGTATAAGTCAAAATTTATAAACTTTCAAGTTCTTTATCCGAACCAGCGGTGATCATATATTTTGATTATAAAGTTTTTCATATTATGAATACATGCATCGTATAAGTCTATAGATAAGGATTTATGCACTGTATATATATATAGATCTATGGATAAAGATTTATACACTGTATGAATACGGATTTATACACTGTATAGATCTATGGATAATGATTTATACACTGTGTATAGATCTATGATTAAGAATTTATACACTTTATAGATCTATATAGATAAGGATTTATACACTGTATCTGATCTATGGATGCGGATTTATACACTGTATAGGTCTCTGGTTATGGATACATTAGACATGGTCATGGATCTATACATTCAATATATGATCATGGGTCTATACATAAGTTGGATATGGACAGATACACTAACTACAGTATGGTTAAAAATATATCAATTTCACATTTGGTTATGGATCTATATATCATACCCGTATGTATAGATCTTTTCTAACTAAAGGATCTTGCATTATCTATATATTAGATCAATGATTACGGATCTATACATTGAATATACATGTACATGGTTATGGACAGCACGTGTTCATATCAATTAACAAAAGATTGTTTTGTGTGGGGGAAAGCCTTTTCAAAGAAAATTATCAATAGTTATATAATTGAAATTTAAATATTTACGAATATTATTAGGAAACACAATAGCAAACATTTAATAATCTAGAACTTATACAGATTCAGCATAGACTGTGCCACGTTAATGACTTTTCGCACTTTAATGACTTTTCGCGCGCCTTTGCGTTTTATAGATAATAATAGCGAAGCAAAAAGGTACGACAGAGTAATTGCCGGGCAACTGTGACTGTGTGAATATATAATCATTTATTTTGTGAGCGAATCAATTAAATAGCGGGTCTTCTCAGTGGGATATACTTTATATAACCCTCTATATTGTTCATTTAGTAGCATGCACTACTACATGTAATTAGAAAAGGTGTTGTTCATTTGGTATTAGAATCATCCTTTTTATGAAAATACCACAACACCTCCCCAAACAAACAGAAAAACAAAGCCCTAACACCTTTTTCTATTGTGAACACCCTACTGGTTTTCATCTCGTTGCATAGCTGCATGTACGCATCAACAAAACATAATGCACATAAACTGGAAATCGTTTGTTTGGTGCGTGCGATTTTTCCTATCCTTGGCAGATCATACTGTCATAGTACCAAAAGTTTTTTTCTCGAATTGAAATAAATCTTGATTTTATTATTAAACTAAGATATGAAGACATGTTTAGATAAAACTGTTTACTTCACACCTTATAGAATGTTATCAATGATAAGGGCAATGACGATACTAAAGATCCTGTTTGTTGTAATTAAGGTTGTTACCAAAAAGTGAAATTTTATATATATCTGTGCTTAGACCTTATAGAAAATTGATTCATAATTACCTCCCTTTATTAACATGAAATGTAAATTCGGTAATATCTTTACAAAAAATGCTTTTTAGAACTTACAATATTGATAAATCTTCATTTGAGCATTATATTTATGATATAAAACCATAAAAACTGTGTTACAGTATCTTTAAATAGGATAGTCTTTACTTAAACCTTCTTCTCGACTAAAGTGAAACACGTTCTGGATTGCCACGGTTCTGAAAAATTAATGAATCTTATTTATATCATAGATCAAGCCTTACACTTTATTGTCTAAAAAAGAGCATTCATATTACTAGTGTCTACACCCTGGGTGAGAAAAGCGTACTTTTATGAGTGCATTGTTTGCCTAAATATTTATCAATTCCCATTTATTTCAGAAACAAATTACAATACTATCAAGTACATAGAAGTAGATTGTTAGGCATATCTTTAAATGTTTGTCAACGACAAAAATCATACTCTTTACAGAAAATCGTACCCAAGTACCAGTTGATGCCTGCGTAAAATCATCGCTTACATTTCTATACATAGCAATTTAATATTTTTTGGGATTTTTTTCTCTTATGTGCATGTTGCAATGACCAACATATTTTTGTTAAAATTCATCCCATATAATTATCACGATATGGCCATTAAATATGATAAATGTAACTGTGTTTTTATATTTCATGTTTAAATGCATTCTGCTTTTATATAATTTACCACTCAGTCAAAATCTTGAAAGGAGGAGACCACTCAAGAGCAATGGAAATAAAGCAATACTAGTATTTTACAATCGCAAACTCTGTGTTCACGAGGGGCAATGTAATGTGCAACATCCCTCACACCCACTCCCAACCTAGCATCGCCTAAAGCGTGTTCAGTAATCTATGTTCACTGAAAGTGTTAATGAATGACAAAACCCTTGGACAAAAAAAAGTCATATGTTTGTACAGACCAACCAAACTAAGTCATTCAGAAACAGTTAAACTGTTGCCTTTTTATTTCATCCCGTAATATAATTTATGTAAAGTTTTGAATTTGGCACAGTCAATTCTGTGTGGTTAAGGGATTTCGTTATAAAAGTACAAAAATTGAGTTACCAACAGTGTAGAGCCATGCCAGATTTCACATCTGTAGGCTTTTTACTGCTGCCAGTAAAGGCTAATCACATTCGAATCCTGTAGGTTAAAGGTTCAGTATTGAAATGGCAAATTGTACTATAAAGCTGGTAGAGTCTGGTTTATAGACTCTGCTGGGATTTTTTTTCAAGAATTAATCCTTAGCAATAAATGTCTAGAATCACAAAAAGCGACATTTTTATAACTTTCACAATGCTTTCTATTTTTGAACAAATGGGAATTTAAAATCAGTCTTGTAAATGCCATGCAAAAATCGTGCAAACTTAAATACCCACATTTCTGTTTTACTAAAGAAGTATTTCAAATCAGGTTTACGGATAAAGTCTGTAATAAAAAGCTGACGTGTTACAATTGTGAATTTATGTGTTAGATCTATGTGCCCAACCATAACTCAAAACTGACATTTTCGAGGACCTGTGAGCTACCGGCGTTAGATTTTTCAAATCTGTCTATTCAGTGTTCAAACATGCAGAAAAGGTAAGGAAGCTGTGAAATAAGCAATATCTATGATAAAATTACAACCTTAGTCCATTAATATGAATCTACTTTATCTAACACACAGATGGTTCTTTTCATTATGTGCTTGAAATAATGCACCGGAGGGCGTCAGAGGACTTCCTCCGCCAGTGAATACTGGAAAGTCGCATATGTATGACCAATACTGTGTTGATGCAACGTACAATCAAATCAGAATAACCAAAATGAATTAAAATCAAAATTTCGCTTTTTAACCAAAGGCCAATGAACCCTAAAATAAACTGTCTTTTTAATTTCCCAAGATTTTTTTTTTATTTCATTTCAACTTTATTCAGATTAGTAACACAGTATTTACAATGCGGCCTTCTATATAAAATCATATCAATCGAAATAAACTATAACATGTAAAAGTTATCACAGTTTTAATCTATATCTTAACACACATACTGAACATTCATACAATTCATTTTATCATATAATATGCTTTAATTATAAAACACATATTTCTTCTTATTAAGCACTTCAGGTGGAAACAATGTGTTAATTTTCTAAGGTTAGTGTGCCAGTAAATTCTTCGTATGGATCAAATAAATCGTGATATACTGTATAATGTCCGGTATACAATGGAGGGCAATCATAGATTTATCAACATTTTTTTTTGTTTTTAACAACTGCAATCTTGTCTATAATATACCCTGTACCTCTGTATATAAGTAGAATTATTTCATAACGAAGAGACAATATTTACTTGGCAATCTTATTTTCTTTACTAGTCTTTTACTAAAGAAAAAGGAAAGAAAAATCCCATTTTCTTGTTCAAAATGTTTATACGTTTATGTCGATTATGTTCTTATAAGGGTCGAAGTAGAAATGTATATATAAATTCCTTATGAATAGAAGCCTTCGGTATATTCTTCAAATATAATAGTCTTTACATTTCGGATTAATTTTAAAAGAAATCAAATATTTATATTCTTCCCAGGTCCAAATGCCAGCATTTAAAATAATTATGAATAAAAAAATAGTCTCATGAATATATTACTTAATGTTGGAAATAATTTATACATTTTGAATAGTACGATGAACAGATATTGATTTACGTTTAATGTTAATAATACTTATATATTCCTTTTAATTTTTAAAGTATATAAAGCTATACATGTGCATGTATATCCGGCACATGCAGTTAACAAATTTGTTGTTTGAATTTTGGAAAAAAATGCTACTTGCAAAATACCTGTATGAAAGAAATATGTTTATTTTCTTAAGGAATGACATGACAATACTGGAAATAATTTTGTGAGATTAATTTTTTGTAGCTCTAGACCAATAGCGTGTATAATTTTGAACAGATCATTCACCCACTTCGTTTTTCAAGAACTGCGAAAACTGACCTAAACTTTCACTTATTCGGGCTTATAAAAGCGAGGATACGATTTTCAATTTATTTTGAAGTAAATTTCTTAATAATCTTTGTATATCTTTCTATTTTATGAATCCCAACCCGTTTTAAGCGTTTTGGACCTTAGTGGAGTTCCTTTAACAATACCGTTTATAACGTCAATTCAAAATTAAGGGGAATATTACTACATTTTAAAGTACATTAATTTACTGGTTTTTATTTGCGTACAATGTTTTACAAATGTTATATCCATTGTTAATATATTTTAGTTCAAGATATAGTCCAATACACATTATAGGCTCTACAATAAATAGAATAGAATTACAAAGTTAAATTGATTTCTAACTAAATGTAATAAGTGTTAGGGATACCACTTAGGGTATCATGTAATCGAGATAGATAACATGGATGAATAAATAAAAGTAAAGCGGAAACACTGCTTCCCTTTTGAAAAAAAAGACAGAAAAAAATAGTTTTTATCTAATTATTATTAAAAATAAGAAAAACAATGGTGTTCACATTAACGCATTTGTTTAATTAACTGCGTTTATTTAACTTTATTTTATACTGCAATATACGCATGCGCAATATATTTGATAAAATAAATTTAAAAAAAAAAAGAAAAAAAAAGACCAGTGGTAAATAGTTTAATATATTAATTAATATGGTATCGACTTGATATAAGTTAACTAGTCAACGGTTAAGTTATAGATTTTAATTCTTTATTAAAGGATTAAGTTTGTAAAAGACTGATCGAATCGCCAATAGCGTAAACTATAGTAAAGATTTCTTCTAGATAATGACCCGGTTGATTCTTTCACTTCTAATGAAGCGCAACGCCGCCTCTTGAAGAACCGAGGAAAATTCAATAGGCCTGAAATTCGATTTAACAATATTATTTCGTATAATAAACCAGTTGTAAATCTATATATTACCTACAGGCGAACTTAATAGATTGGTTTTGTTTTTAAGGGCTACAATTCAGTTAATATTTAGTACAGTGTGTCCATTTGCGACACTTTTTAAGGATTTAAGTGTAGGACAAAGTGACAATATAGAATGGTAAGTTTTATTTTGAATTAAAAACAAGTTTTTTAAGGGGAAAATGTTTCACCTTCAAAAGTTTTTTTTATGAAATAAATGATGTATATACAGACTTAATTTGATGTGTGTTTTTTCTTTCTTTATTTCATAGGGAGATTTAACGGAGTTTCCTACAGAAACGGAGCTCAGAGGTAATTCTAGACATTTATAGAAAAATCACCTTTTAACAATTTTAACGGAATTTCATTTTATTAAAAATTATCTTGGTTAAAAATGTTATTAATATACTTTACAAAATGATTATTTCAGTTTAACAAGGCAGATCAAAGTCAATTTAAGTAAAAAAAGAAATGCATGTTCTCAATTTGAACACATAAGCAGTTCTTCCTCAACAGGCATTTCATTACGGTACTGCCATGATTTAAGTTTTTTAAGTCCTTTCGCAGTGTGAAAAACAGTTCCTTAAAAAATCATAAAAAGTGTATAGTTTTAGAATATGAAAACGGAAGCATTTCTAGCGGTCAAGGATTTTGTTTCTCCATTTATCTGCCCTTGAATTTGAATTTTGTAGTTGTTGAATCATTTTATGTAAAAGTGTCATTGTCCTTCTCTCTGTATATTTGCATGTATATATTGGCAATGAAATATGATTAAAACTAACAAAGAACACAAGAAACTATATACATCTTCTTCTCCTCTAGCGGTGTTTGACGATTGTGCGAATGGCGATGAATGGCTCACGATGGACGAGTTTACAAGCTTTTGTTACAGATTCTACCTGTCTCCTACCACAAAGTATGTCAACAGCTTGTTTCAGGATCTGGATAAAGATGGTAATTACGAGAATTATTCCGAAGAAATAGAATTCTAAAAGTCCTTTTATGCCAATCAGTTTATTCTTCTATTCCCCTCTTTCACAGAATTATAATTAATTTCACCGTTAGGGCACCCAAGCACTTTAATTGAACGGGTGCTAGGAAATAAGACTTTATTCATTTTACAATAATTCGTGTTTCAAGAAAGTATATACACTACGTTTTCGTATATGTATCGTGTTTCAAGAAAAGATACAAAAATGCATCGTATATATGTATCATGTTTCAGGGAACAATATACAATTGCATTTAAAATACACTCTGTTGTTTCAAAAAGATCTATTTTTCATTGCATCGTAAACTCTTCGACGTTCCGTATATTTTTCTTAATTTCATCATAAATGTACTGTTGTTTCTCCAGGAAATGAAAAATTATCATATGAAGAGGTGAAGGTCTTATTGGAGAAACAATGGTGTCCTATGGATGAAAGAAAGGAGGCCTTCAAAACCTGTTTGGCAGCTTGCAGAACAAAAACGGGTATGGAGTATTTCTTATGAAAGGCATCGCATAAAATTAATAAATTAAACGAGACTTACCTGGAAGTTGAAGTTCAATTATTATTCTACTGCTACTGGACCACAGGGTTTTAATGAGATGAACATATGATCTTATCAGATGACCAAGCAGACTTTCAGAGCATACATAATTATGCAAAATGCAACAATGGCTTATACATATGGGAGGGGTAACCGGGACGGCATTAAACCCTGTGGTCCAGTAGCAGTAGAATAATAATTGAACTTCAACTTCCAGGTAAGTCTCGTTTAATTTATTAATTCTACTGCACTGGACCACCTAGGGTTAATGAGATTTTAGAGGCCATGCTCGCATTTTGATAAGTCGTTAAAACTTCATAACCAAGTTCAATGATTAGGCATTCAATCTACGACTATTAACTTTTCAAAACTGAAAATGTAATGTACAAAATAAAGTATGCAATTGCCATATACATAAAATGCTGTAAAAGTAACAATCATTATAAAAGAATACTATTCCCTATTTCTACTGTGCGGAAAAGGTCATTAGGCTTGACCCCTGCTGCAATGTTACATTGCAAAATTGATACATTGTATCGTATATTGTAAACAGAAAATTGCAAACAAGTTTGACACACATATACGTGTAGCACAAAATTCTTTCACATGTAGTGATATTTGAAGTTTTCTATGGTTTTAAAGCAACACATTTATGCTTTTAATTATAATTTCTTTAGGCTCGATTTCTGATATCTTGCAAAATCAGTGTTTTGAAATTACTGATCTGCGGTTAAAGGGCCATAAGCCTAAACCTGCCATTATTCGTTTATATTATTTACATTATTATTATTTTTTTTTTCACATTCATGTTTTCTTCAATAAACACATGTATATTATTTTCAAAATCAGCTCTGTATTGCAGTTACAGTACATGTTTCTATGGTTCACGTTTTCGATTCCACTCGATACAGGATAGAATATAATGAAACATACAAATGAATTTGTTCATTTTTCCTGAATTATTAATATTATTATCATTTTTGTTCGGAATCAATCAATCAATTAATTAGTTAATTAAGTCATCAACTGATTTGTTTCAAAAACGATAATGAAAACTTCCAAAACAAATGGCTGAATCTCTTATCACCACTTACTTATTCAGTTGTTTGAAAACAAAACCCCAAACAAGTTATATTCTATGACCATGCCATTTGGTAGAATAATCTGCTTAGTGTTTTCCTTTCCCCGGACAATGACGAGTAAGGTACCACATCTACATATAATGATATATTATTAATTTATCTGCCATTTCTTTTTCCAAATTTTATAACATTTCTAGTTGACTAATTAACATGCAGTCTACAAATATAAATGCGTTCATCAACCGTAGAAATGTTTCATAGACTAAACTGCAGTTTTCATGATATAATCAATATTTTTATTGAAACTAGTTGTTTCAATTATTTAAATCAAAATTTTAATGACACTTTGACAGCCGTAGCACAATCAGGATTTTGTTTGCCTATTGTTGTGATAGGTCCGACACAAATCCCTCCCTGAGTGGTTTATAGTGCCATGGATCATAACACAGTGAAGGTTAATTAGCAACCCCTCCTTGCAAACAAACAAATCAAATTAAGACATATGTTTGACCTACAAACCAGGCACAGCTATTAATACCTGCTGTTTTCCCAGGAATAAGTCCGATGATAAACCCTAACAAAAACAATTCACTGAGAGGGTCCAGTGAGAGATTTATCTGAAGATGTAGTACATGTGTACAGTATAAATCCCAAATTATCAACCTTATCTAAACCATCTAAAATACTGCACATTACAACTTTGTATAAACTATCATTATTGTAATGAATGGTAAAACATTGGTTTCATAGGTTTGTCCAACAGTGAAAGACTAGGCAAATGCAAATGATTTTTTTTTTCGTTATATTCATTAATTCATTTATTTCTTTTCTATGTTTTACTGTAGTTAGCTTGAGCAAAAATTTCAATGCATACAAAGCATATCAAACATGTATTCAATTATGCATTTAGCTATGTCTATATACACCTTTCAGTCGAAGAAAATTCTGGATAGAAAAATATTTTAGTGATTAAATGTTTATTTTCTTCACTAAAACTTTTCATATCTTATTTCATGTTCTTCCATTTCGAATGACATGTCATTTTCTTAAAAATAAAAGCAAGTTCTTTACAATCGACATTGTCAGTGTACTTTACTTGAGATATACAGGTAAAGAATTATTCAATATAAATTTCATTATTGAACCGTCTCAAGCAGGTACCAATATTGAAAGTTATCAACTTACAATGTTCAGGGTATTTCGAAGTGTTTCTAGAGTATTGTAAAAACAATGCATACTCACATTCTGTTTTCTTTCTTGTATATGTACTCATGGTTGCCCCTGAGATTCTTACCTCACACTATATACAACCAATGTTATTTAATATGTGTTTACTTTCCGTTAGGAAAGTAACAATTCCTTCATAAGAGGTGCGTTTTCCCAAGAGCAAATTTGAACTCACAGTTTTTGACACTTCTATGCAAAACACTTTCTCCAGCATATTTGATCTTCGTATATAACAAATTTGGAGTATTCAGGTTTTGACAATCTATGCAAAATTTGCTTCAACATATTCCTTCTCGTATGACAAATTTGGAGTACTCGCGGGTTTTGACATTTCTATTCAAAACATGCTCCAACATATTCCATCTTATATAACAAATTTGGAGAAACTCAGGTTTGGATATTTATTGCAAAACTAGCTCCAGCATATTCGCTTTTATATAGATAACTAATTTGTAGTACACAGTTTTGTCATTTTATGCAAAACTAGCTTCAGCATATTCCCTCTTATATAACAAATTTGGAGTACACAGTTCTTGACATTTCTATGCAAAACTAGCTTCAGCATATTCCCTCTTATATAACAATATTGGAGTACACTGTTCTTGACATTACTATGCAAAACTAGCTCCAGCATATTCCATCTTATATAACAAATTTGGAGTACACAGTTCTTGATATTTCTATGCAAAACTAGCTTCAGCATATTCCCTCTTATATAACAAATTTGGAGTACACTGTTCTTGACATTTCTATGCAAAACTAGCTCCAGCATATTCCATTTTATATAACAAATTTGGAGTACACAGTTCTTGACATTTCTATGCAAAACTAGCTCCAGCATATTCCATCTTATATAACAAATTTGGAGTACACAGTTCTTGACATTTCTATGCAAAACTAGCTCCAGCATATTCCCTCTTATATAACAAATTTGGAGTACACAGTTCTTGACATTTCTATGCAAAACTAGCTTCAGCATATTCCCTCTTATATAACAAATTTGGAGTACACAGTTCTTGACATTTCTATGCAAAACTAGCTCCAGCATATTCCATCTTATATAACAAATTTGGAGTACACAGTTCTTGACATTTCTATGCAAAACTTACTCCAGCATATTCCCTCTTATGTAACAAATTGGAGTATACAGTTCTTGACATTTCTATGCAAAACTTACTCCAGCATATTCCCTCTTATGTAACAAATTTGGAGTACACAGTTCTTGACATTTCTATGCAAAACTTACTCCAGCATATTCCCTCTTATGTAACAAATTTGGAGTACACAGTTCTTGACATTTCTAGGCAAAACTTACTCCAGAATATTCCTCTAATATAAAACCATTTTTGTGCAAATAAAATCTCTACAATACGCCCAAAACAGCAAAAATGAAAATGTTGCAGGCTTGGTTTGAATGAGTCTGTTCAAGGATGATACTGTAAAATGCAATTTACTGTTTTTCCGCCCAAAGCATATTAAAGATATTCTATACTCATCTCAGAGTAAAATATTTTTATCCCAGAAATTATTTGAAATCTATGTATTTCTTTCTAAATATGTCTTATTTGAATAAAAGAATGTACAAACTGTGTTTGGGAAGCTGCATATAAGTAAAGTTGACCCTTTCTTAATTTTTTTTTTTTTTATTGACACTATACATTCTTATTGTGCCTCTAAATTGTGTAGAGTTTAAGACATAAGATATCTTCTTTGTGTGTAGTCAAAACATGTTTATTTTATATTTAAAAAGAGACTGTGTAGCAATTATCAATATCTAAAAATACAATGAATTTGAGCATATTATATCTTTAATTCAAATAATTTTTATTTAAACTTATCATACAGTTACCCAACTAAACATAGAATTATATTTTGTGAGCAAGAGCTGATATTTTCTTATATCAAGTAAGATTTAAAACAGTAAGATAATGCAGATCTTTTTAACAAATAGAATAAGAGTCTTATAAATTATAAGCTGTGATATGTGCATTTCGTTGGCCTAAGAAACATGACTTTGGTATGTTCGTGGCTCAAGAAATTAAATTGTTTAATTATAATATTAATTTTATGTCTTGATAACTTCAAGTTAAAGCAATATTGTCTTTGTTGTTGTAGTAGTAGTTGTAGCATAAAACTTGGAAGGTCAATCATCTGTGTTGCAGATGGCCAAGGCTTCATACTGTTGTCCATCATTCCATGATGACGAAACAGATTTTCCTAATCTGTTGCAGAGTTAATATTGGACCTACTGTCCGCAAACTCTAGACATTCCAAATTTTGTTGCAGAGTTATGTTGGACCTACTGTCCGCAAACTCTGGGGTCGTCGCAGTACGCCTCAGTACCTACTGTACTGGTTATATAGCGACTGTTGGGCTTCTTGAAAAGTGGAGTTCCCTACTGGAACTGAACACTTTACCCATTCTTGTAGCAATCCATGTGGAAAATATAAATGGATAATCAAATCAAAAACAGAAGTCAATTGTTATATCCAGAATATTGTCACTTTAAATAAAATTATGACCAAATAAATCCGGTATTTAATCCATTTTACAAAAGTTATTAAGTAATTGTATTAATCCATTTAACAAGAATAATTGAATAAATCTTAATTCTAGTAATAACACATAAATTAAGAGAAATTAACTGCGGCCACTCTGATAGGATACTTTTAGCGTTCTGCTTGGTCATCTGATAAGATCATATGTTCATCTCATTAACCCTAGGTGGTCCAGTGCAGTAGAATTAAGAAATTAGATTTGAAATAACGCCATAAATAGTATAACTGTAAGCTTACATATATAAAAGGTACTCGAATAAGAATTAGGCTAAGTAAAGTCCTCTCCATGCATGAATATATTGTGCTTTCATTTCGCTGTGAGGGTCCCCCCCACCCCCCAATTAATATACGGTTATTTCTGAAGATGTCTGAATGATAATGTGTAGATGTAAATTAGACTTTTGCTTAAAAATTTAGGAAGAACTAGTAAAGAAAAGAAGCTTTCTTGAATGCATATTGGCGAATTTCTAAGATGCTTCATAAGCAAAAAGTAATTACTGTGTATATATGTATACTATAACAGGTCCAATAGACCGCGATGAATTAAGACAAATATTAAGCGGAGGAGACGATGCTGAAGCACTAACTGATGAGGACATTGATTTCATCTTCAATAAAATGGACCTGGACGGTAATAAGGAGGTCACTGAAGACGGTAAGTGTAGTTAAGAAACACCAATTGTAAGGTTTTACTGTTTGTACTTGAATGGGGTTTTGATTAAGGCTGAGGCTAAAAGGCTTTGCAAGAGCTTTTGAAACATCTTTAAGTCTATATTGGATCAAGGGTGTTCACGATGATCAAAAGAGGAAAAGTTCTCTTTTGAAAAAAAAAGAGATTAGGTGGTATTTTGGAGAACTGTGCATGATTTAAACGAAAGGGCGGATTAAGCATGGCCTTTTAAAGTCTGCTAGGAGGTGAAGTATATTACAGATTTTGGGGAGTTGAATGTCTTGAAGGGCAAGACAGCTAACATTTATGCGCTGTAGTGTCTTGGGATAAAATGTCTTGTTCCCTCGCCGATATACCTGGTCCGAAATATTTCGATTCGCTGAGAAACATCCGAAGTACTTTAATATGCATACATAACTTTGAGGACATTATGAATTGTGTATGTCATAGCTTGAACAAAGTTTACATATACTAATATTTTTATATAATCAGTATAAGTAAACGTACATTATAAAGAATCATCATTTAAAATATGAAATGTGTGTAGTTACTAAAGCTGTTTGTCGCAATAAAAACCTTTATCTGTAATAACCTGAACGTTTAATCTTTTTTAAGAGCTGGTTAAAATTCTTTTCGGAATGGATGATGGCGCAAGAAGCCGAGCAGTGTCACAATATGGTAAGAGACGGAAAGGCAGATCCCGAAGCCGTTCAAAAGGGAGAAAACGTAGTAAATCTAGATCTAAGGAAAGAAAGCGAAGTGGATCGAGAGGGAGAAAGCATAGCCGTAGTAGTTCCAGGGGTAGAAAGCACAGTCGAAGCGGATCAAGACATAGAAAAAAGAGTAAAAGTAGAAGTCGAAGTAGATCTGGACATAGACGAAAAAGTAGAAGTCGAAGTGGATCTGGACACAGAAGAAGGAGCAGAAGTAGAAGCGGGTCTGGGCATAGAAGGAAAAGTAGAAGTCGGTCTAGAGATCGTCATGACTCCAATGAAAGGCACAATGAACAAAATTTCTTTGAAGAAGTAAAATCAGGCATAGAACATGAACAACAAAATATGAAAAATAGTGAACAAGCTACTGAATCTGGTACTCAGGAAACTCAACAAGATATCGCTCAACAAGATACTATCGAACAAAAACAAGATGGAAGTGAGCAAAAGGACGAAACAAGTGAGCAAAAGGAGGAAACAAGTGAGCAAAAGGACGAAACAATTGAGCAAAGTAATGAGCAAAAATCTGAAAGTAATGAGCAAAAGGAAAAAGAGGATGCTCAAGTCACTGAAACAAATGAACAAAAAGCCGAACCAACTGAAACAAACGAAGAAGTTCAACAGGCTGAAAGTTAAAATTTGAACCACATATAAAGGTTTGGAAATGACACAATTACAGAAACACACGATTTATAATAAATTTATAATGTATGTTAATATAAGGAAAACGTCTGAATGGGTTAACGAACATAACCTAACAATATTTACTACTGAAGGTTCAATAATTGTATATTCATTGGACAAAAGTGTTATACAAAATAACGTGCTCTAGAAATGTCATTTTTTTTAAATTTGTCTCTTTTGCCTAGTCAAAAAAGATTCGGGCTTTTACACGATTCTATATATAGATTTCATTGTTATTTATATTTTTAATTTCAACTACCTATTGCTTAAAAAAATTCTGATTTGAAAGCTGGGAATTCCTTGCATCAATTTATTTACATGTAAATTGGTTTCATATTTTTGTTTAATTAACTCATTTGCAATGCTGAAAAAGAAGCACAACAATACGCAATATCACAATTTTGCACTTGACGATGATTTACGGTACTCCATTTAGGAGGACAGCTTGTATGATTTCGACAAAGCTCGTCTTTTTTGTCAATTCCCGTCGTTTCCATTACAATCTGACAAGACAACACCATTTGTTGTTTCTGGTACCTAAGACACGTATTGATATTTACGGAGAGTGACGAAATTTGTCGATTTTACACGATCTTATAATGGAGGCAGTACCTTTATGAGAGAAACAATACATTCACAACGCTGAGGATGGTTTCATACACATGTTAAATAAATGTTGATATATCTAGATTCAAAGTACTAGTAGTGTATTTCTTTTGCACATTTTTGTTGTTGTAAATGTTATATTTAAGTCTTTTATGTAGACTAGTAATTTCTTAAATAAAAATATAAATTATCTCTACATGTTATTATTAGTTGTTTTCATTCACCTTTGTCAATCTCGAAATTTGGTTGTATTCTCTAATGTAAACGTAAAGATTAAAAAAAAATGATATAAGGTTTCGTCAAAAACAGCAGGATTCAAGCCCCATGTGTTATTACCTTTCAGCGCTAGTTATCTTTATGGTGGTGGTCGTTCGTGGCCAAGTGGTTATGGTTGTTGGCTTCAAACTTCTTCTCACCGCTGAGGGTTCGAATCCCGCCAGACCTTTTGAATCTATTATGCGAGGAAGCTATCCTGCTAGCTTACTGAACGTCAGTAGTTTTACTCAGAAACCTGTCTGTACCAGATGTAATGCATGACGGGGCACCTGAGGTCTTCTTCCTTCACTAGTAAAGCTTGAAATATGCCATGACCTTTAAACTTGGTGCGAACCAATAAGGAATTGACGGCATTCTCTTGAATGAATAAACTACCTCATAAACAAACGGGCAGCAACACTGAACAAAAGAACTATCGGCCTAATTTATGCTTACATGACATTTATTTTCTAAATCAAAAAATCTCAAACGGATTCGCACTCATATAATGGTGAACGGACAGTGATACTCCGTTCGTATTTATAACATATATTTGCAACTGGACTGTCAGTAAAATGTTTGACTGCCTTTGGCCCATCCTCTACAGAATGCTTTTCAACGTTTAACCTGCTGAATTTTTTATATGCACTTGTCTAGTTTTAATTTTTGGAACAGTGCATTATATATTTCTGGGCTATCAAAATGAAGGTATGAAGTTTGGCAGACAACAGTATAGACCTGGCCAGACTGAATGGAATTACTGGCTGGCTTGGCTCTGTACTGGTGGCAAAGTGTAAGCATCAAGCACCATTAACCTGCTAAATTTGTCTGGCTTCATTTTGGAAGGTTCAAGCAGAGCAAGCTTTGAATTATCATTAGCAAGTAAATTAGAATAGACAAAAACAGGGTCCCTAAAGAACGCCCAAAACGGCATGTTGAAAATGGTACATGTACATGTTAAGTTTGAGCCTGTTCATAGTCGGTAGTGGTTAATACAAGCTATCGCCTACGCCCTAACCCCCCAGATTTAAGCAGCTAGAAGTCAACACTTAAACATGAAAATGGTGACACTTTGAATAATGAAGCATCCGCAGCCAGATACATGTATGTTCATAAATCATACCATGAAACCATCAATGTGACACATTCATGCCATTCCATTAAAAACGGGGGGGGGGGGTCTCCAAATAAAATACGCGGGAAGTGCGGATAAAAAGATCCGTTCAGAGAAAACAAAGCATTCCCTTTCAAATTTTACAGGTCTCTTTGAAAGTAATCTTTATTTGTAAATAGATGATCGAAGAAGAAAACAGAAACTCTATATCTTAATTTATTTCAACATAACAATAACTTTCTAACATTTTTATAAACATATTTAAATGATATTGTATATTATTTTATTTTTATTAATTACACGAACACAGCCTTGAGTACAAAGGTCTAGTTAATTGTCAACAAGTAAAACCTAAAACATTTCAGTGCAAGTAGACCCAATGCTGACAGAACACATTCATTTTCAATTTGAGCATCTTGTTCACATGAGCCTTCATTTTCATGTAATACTGTATGCTCCAACGTCGATTTTTATTCAACAATACAGACGTTACCCTGCTGCTTCAAATGTTCTGATCTGGGGTGTTCCCATCTTTAACAAAATCTTTATTCAACACATACTCATTCCATGTAACATTTCTTGGTTTTCGGCTATTTTTACTTGGCCCTGAAAGACAGAACAAAATTTCACATTGCAGTTTCAAAGCATCAACATTCTGCAAATTGTAAACAAAGTTATTGTTGATCTATGAAATTGTTTTCTTTTAACTCAAAGTATTGGATACCACATAGAGTCACGAAAACTATTCTAAGCATTCTAGTAAAAATTCAATCAATTTTGTCAGTCCTTATATCTGAATATCTATAAAGAAAGTGCTGTGTGGAGAAGATAGTGAATAAACCAAAATACTGTAATGAAAAGAGGCGAAATATGCTGAAATTCGATAAAGACCATGAAAAATGGTGAAATACATGTATGCTTAAATTCAACAGGATAGACAATGAAAAGTGGTGAAATATGCTAAAATTTTATAAGCTAGGACGACATAAATGATGAAATATACTAAGATTCAATGACCTAATGGATAATAAATAATAAGCAGAGCATAATTTTGATTAATGTAAGCACGGAGATAAAATAAATCTCTAAATCTCTAAAAAGGAACATCTTAGTGACGCATTGGCAAGTTAAAATATATTTTCAAACAAACCTTTCAATATGCTTCTAGGAGTTCTCCCCCTTGGACTTACTTTCGGTTCAAAGTCTTTAATAAAAGAAATCAGAAGGTTAAATAATGAAAACATAATTGTATGCTATGAAGTATTTCATTGATGAACCAAAATCTACTGTAAATAACTAAGCTAATTAAATCATGAAACAAGATAAAGATGCGCCAGGCAACTTGGTGACAATAGTTCCCTACAAATTTGGTTGAATTCCCCTGAGATAACAGGATGAATTAGGTAAGAGTATAAATACTAAATGCCTTAATACCAGTTTAGCTCACACACAGACATTAACTAATATAACAAAGTTATTTTGGAAAGCTTGGAAAAAACTGTTGGAAAAAAAGGGTTATTTGCTGTTGCCATTATCTTACAAGCATGAAACAGTTCTTGATAATATACTGTGTTTACAAAATACTTCATTCCTTTAAATTTGGCTTAAGCACCAGTATATTCAAACAGATTTACCTTGAACTGTGATACTGTTAGAAGATGCCACTTGTTGTCCTGATTTCTTTTGACTTACTTTATTCTGAAATAAGAATATTTTTTCTGATGCATCTTAAATGTTTTCATTCTTAATTTCCATCCATGACGATGTAAAACTGCAGTAAACAATGAAAGTAATCACTGTTAATTTTAATCGAATATAACACATACAGTCCTCAAGTATGTAACAAGATTATTTTTTTCCGTTATGATCAATAACTTTAACAGAATAAAATTAGATATAGTTCATATTAGACATGTGTTATATAATGAGAGAAAATGTAATACAGTGGTAACTGTTTGATTTTTTACTTCCACACTGTAAACGTCAAATGCAAATGGCCTCTACAATGGCTACATTCAAGTTTTACTATTGGAAGGGCATCTCATGCGCAACTGTAAAACCACCACAAACAAGCATCTTAAACACTGCATTTCCTTAAACCAGCAGAATATCTGTATTACATGTAACAGTTAGTCATTTCATTTTTTTTTGCTTTCACCAGTTAATTCAAATGTAAGAAGTACTTAAATTAATTAGGACCTATCAGAATATTTAATACCTGTATGCAAGACACATTTGTTGCTGGTTTGATCTTTGCAACTATATCCCTGTATTTCTGTAAGAAATCAATAGAACCCTCTGTTCCTGGTGATGACGACTTTGATTTGCTCGATGCTTGTGTTCCTGTATGTATCGATATTATATAGACAGATAATTATTACATAAAACAGTTGAAGTTTTAGAGACCTATCTAATAGTATTTGAATGAGAGGTTCTATAACAAGAAAGCATGTCAATAACCTTTTTACTAACACACTTATAAAACAATATCAATTGTTGCAGATCAAATGATTCAAAGTTGGCAGCCTTTCAAATATTTCCTAAAAGAGGACCAATATGTATAGTTAACGTTAATGCTTTGAAAAACAATTGAAAGTCAGAAAGAAATAAATACCTGTAACAATTGACTGCCTTGCTACAGATGGGGCAGATGCTTGTAGACCTGATGTGTTTAAATCAATGGTTCCTTCTGTAGGATAACTTATTTTATCTTTTGCATTTAGGGAAGGCCTGAACAGTTTATGAGCACCACTTGCTGATACTGATGTGACAGACGTAGATACAATTGTTGCAGATTCATCAATAGCAAGATCACTTGCTGGGCATCCAACATTTGAAATTGAACCACAAAAGGAATGAATTTCTTCAATTGGCTTTGACCTAAATGCAGTGCTAGATGCAGTATACCCTGGTGAACGTTGGTCATTATTACCGTAAGGGTATTCTTGTGACTGGTCATCTACTTCCTTCAATTCTTGTGATGAGGTATCTGACTGTGTTAGAGTGTTTGGAGAATCAGTTTCACACTCCATTTCCAACACTCCTGCAGTAGCAGTAACTTGCTTTGAAGGACAAATTTCTGGAGCGGATACCATATTATCGATGCCTTGTTGGTATGCCATTTTGTTTGAAACAGCAGGAGAATAAACTTTCTGCATAACGTCTTCTGAGTAATTGACTTTTAATTGGAGAGGCAGAGTTCCACGTTCCCTTTGATCGTTAACGTATACATTTGACTGGACATCTGAAAGCTGGTTCATATCACCTTCGTGCAACTCTTGATCTTTTTGTGTAAAAGACTGACTTATTCCTGGCATATTCTTGTAATTGCAGAGTGTGCTTATCTGGTATTGTGAAGTATGTTTCACACTCGTTGATGCACAACTTGAGTGACCTTCTTGAGCTTTTACATTTGCTTTGGGACTAGCAACTTCAGTACCACTTTCATCAACTGTTTCAATCTCCTCTTCAATCTTAAACATTGAAGAGTAATTCCGTTGTTTCTTTGGTATTCCCTTAGGAATTTCTGTTAATTTCGGAAGCTTTGACTGTCCCTCATCTCTGTTTAAATACTGTTTAAACTTTTCTTTACTGATGTCAAAATTACTAAACTGATCACTCACGACCTCTTTAGTAAGTTTATGCTTCTTGGCTTTGGACTTTGTAAACTTTGGCGGCATTTCAGAAACTTCCCAATTTAGATCAATAGATTGGTCCATGGAAGCTGCTTCAATCCCATTGGAAAAATGGATCTCTTTTGTGGTATAATCATTCATATTGCTTGATGATCTATTCCTTTCTATGGAGTTCTCTTTTTCATTATATTTTGGATCGATGGTAGCCGTCTCATCTTGTGTAAGCTTAATACTAAACTCATCCGGATCCACAGCCACAACATCAGTATTCAGTACACTCTTTGCAATGTCTATTTTTGGTATACTGAGTCCTGTTTGTCCAAAATCTCCTTTTTGGACACTTTCTTCTCTTTCATAGTGCCTAAAATTACCAGTTATGCTAATCTTTTGTTTTCTGTCTTCTTCATTATGTGCTGTCTCATCCTGTCTCGTTCTTGAAGTTCCATTTTTATCATATCTATCTAATCTAGAGCTTCCAAGTTGTGGACTTTCTAATGATTCTATTTCAGAATCGATCTTTAACTGGGTTTTCTTATATTCAGTTTCCTTAGATTGTGAAACTGCCTTAGGAATAATATTGTGTTCCGATTTACTTTTACTTAAATCCATATTAGTATCATTATCAAACTTGTCTCTGTCAACAGCACAATCATCTTTTCCTATGTTCATGCCCATAATTTCAATTGATCTCGTTTCTTGAATAGCTTTATTACGTTCCATTGCATCATCTTCCGCATTATTATATTCTTGGCAAAGCTCCTTTAGTGCTGTATCGTTATGTTCTTTTTCCACACCAGTTCTTTGCTCTCTGACACCAATGTCATCAGGTGTTCCATATTCCTGGAAAGAAATATGGAAAAGTTAAGAAACTGTTCCTGGAAAATCAATCAAATATTGTACAAAAGCTTTATAACTATTGACAGCAACAATTTACCCCTTATTCTACCTATTTATCATTTTATTTTGACATACAAAATATTATTCAATGTATTTATCATTTTATTTCGACATACAAAATATTATACAATATATTTATCATTTTATGTTAACAGTATTTGATGTGACAGATAATTCTTTATTGAAGTAAATAAGTTATTAATTCGTATCATTCTAATTTGAAATACATTTTGTAAATCCATTTTAATGAAATTGATGACAATTCCCATTGTCAAATTTGTGAGAATATTCTTTGCCATGGCAATAATATTATATGTGAAAAGAAATTTCTTGCATGATAACTTCTGAAACTATTAATAGCTATTTTAATACTTGTCTTTACCATCATGCCTTCATTTGTTTGAGTAACAGCATTTTGTACATTTTTTGTATCCTCCTGTCTGCATTCTGTTTGGACTTCCTTCACATTTCTCTCTACCAAATCAGTTTGAACTTCAGTACTACACAATGCAGGGTCTATTGTCTGTGTAACCCCTGTGTCTACTTGCACTCCAATCTGGACCTCCTATAACAACAACAAAAATAATGAAGTGAACATAATAGATAAGAAAAATTGTTGCAGGACTCAAGAAAATGTTTCCTCTTTCTCCATTTCTGTGACTTTATTTAAATATCAAGCAAAAAAAATCAAACAAGAATGAATATAAGAAAGCTCTGCTAAGATGGAGCAATTGAATGAAGGTAATTAAAACATTTAAATATTTTTGAGTTGAAGTATTCAATAAGTTTTGGAACCACTGATTCAGAAGAACCAGAAAATAGAACAACCCCAAGATATAGTACAGGTCAGCTCTTTCTTTTCAGCTGCTACATAACAAATTTTACAATTGTTACGGGAAGATCACAAGAGAGAAAGGAATGAACACCAAAACTATTAAAACAAGCAATTATCATAGTATTGCAAGCAATCCATAAGTCCCCTACCGGTAGGAGCCCAAGCAACATTCTGAAGGGCCATTCACTTAGGTTCCTATTTTAAGTCAATTTGTTGAAAAAGTTCTTTAAAAGTGATCACAGGAAACAGTTTTTATGTACAGACAGACGGACTGAAGGACACTCTAAAGTTATTTTTTAAACATCCCTGTTATCAAAATATAACATTTTTAAAATCCTATCATGATTGATGAAGTTGGAGTAAAAATTACCAATTTCTCAAAAAAAAGTCTAAGTTCAAAAGGGGCATAATTCTGGAAATAGTCTTGCTACAGTATTGAACACTCACAAATTTTGAGTGACAATAAGAAACATTTATATGAAGTTTGAAGTAGATACATTCAGAAAAAGAAGTTATTAAAAAAAACAATGTTTTTTTCATGAAAATTTTAAGTTCAAGGGAGGTAATTCAGATAAATTTTGTACTAGAGTTGTAAACCTTATCACATATGATGTGGTTGATGACAAGCAACTTATATTTAAAGTTTGAAGAAAATACCTTAAGAAATAAAGAATTTATAGTGAAAAAACTTAAAAACTAGAATAAGAAATCTTGAAATTCAGTCTATTTGTTGCCATAGCAACCAGAATTTTCAACATAGGAAGATAAGAAAAGGATGTGCATAATTTCCATACTGCCATCTATCCATATATCAAGTTTCATTAAAATATTTTCAATACTTTTTGCGTTTTCGCGGGATCAAGTTTTGTGGACGGACGGACTGACGGACGGACGGACAGACAGACGGAGGGTAAACCTAAAGTCCCCTCCGGTAAACCGGTAGGGGACTAATTATTTAATTGATTATGATAAGACTACAACAGCATACCTTATTTTCTACGGCAGGCTCAACTTGAACTTCACTGTCTAGCATATTTAGCATGTGTAATTCAGTTTGAGATTCTACTTGTAACTTTTCTACATTCAATATTTCCTGAAACAGAATTATTATTATTTCATATCGAGTAATTCATTAGCTGTGATTTCAGATAATTTAATATTACACAATGATAGGGAAGCATTCTAAAGCTAGGCCAAACCACATTTACAATATTTCTGGGACAACTTGACATACTAAACATACCTGGGACAAGTTATGTGAAAGTATATTTGTACGGACAGTTAAATTAATATTCTTATGAAATTTTTTATGACATATGGATGTTTTTTTAACAAGGATTAAGATTGCTTTTTAAAGAGAACTTGAGCATGCTGAGTTTTATTTCGTGGAAAAAAAATATGTCTTTGAAATGACACTGCATGTAAGATTTTTAAAAAAGCAACAAAGAGCCCCTTCTTCTTTGGAGATGGGGTGTGGATTAATTGTTCAATGACTTATTTGTGAGTGCCTTCCCCTCCCATCTCTCCCCATTATTTGCATTTATTGTTTTCGTACTGGTAATATATAAGAAGAATAGTTCAATGAATGAAAAGTTTAAAAGTGTAAAAATTTTCCAAAAATATTTTTTTTTTTTCAGTATGGCATTCGTTTCCATAATGATAAAGCTTAAGAGGGCTAAACCTTTGACTAAAAGGTCATAGATTATATAGAAATTATGGCTACAGATAACAGAAATGTTACCTTAGCATGAGTCAACTGTTTGTCAAGTTCAGCAATACTATCATTGGCTTCCTGTAGAGACTTTTCTGCTGTTTCTTTTTGTTCTGATATATTATTAACATCAGAAGTAAGTCCTGCTATTTCCTCCTTCAGTTTGGTTACCTACAAATAACAACTTTAGGACTTAACATGACTGGCAAAAGTATCCAAAATGTATCTGTTATGCAAAATTGAAAGAAAAAAAATAAGTCAGTTTTTTTTTACTACCTTGTACAAAAAATGCCAGAAATAGTTTTGTTTGTTTTGGGTTTTACGTCACATCGACACAGTATAGGTCATATCGCGACATTCCAGCTTTACTGGTGGAGGAAGACCTCAGGTGCCCTTCCGTGCATAATTTCAGGCACAAACGGGCACCTGAGTAGAACCACGGACGTTATGTAAGCTAGCTGGATAGCATCCTCACATGAAAGAATCCAAAGTCCCTGTCGAGATTCGAACCCACAGCGGTGAGGGGCAAGTGGTTTGAAATAGTTTTGAAGACATGAGACTTTTCTAATAGTGAAGATATAAAATATGATAAACAAGATCATATATAAATATATATAATTATATATGTAATATATCATATATAATTATATCATATATAAAGACATGAGATTTTCTATTAGAAGACTATCCAAAGTAAAGAAATGATTACTTATGGCCTACATTATTGAGAAAGCAAAAGCAGAAAAGATTGCATTCAAATGAATTTTCTTTCATCAAATAAAATCAGGAAAAAATCTTAGTATGATTATTAAAAGCGGCTGTAAATGAGATCATTTCTGTTTTAAGTTTGGCTTTCATTATCAAAACCATCAACCTTTGCTTCAAAACCCTCAACTCCTGTCTTATGTCTTTCTTGATTATTGGCCATCTCATCTGTTGACTGTTTGAGAGCAGCTTCAGTCTTGTTAAGTTTGTCTTGTGTAGCTTTCTGTACTTCTTCAATAGTGGCACATTCATCTCTATATTTAGCAGCATTATGTAGATGTATGTTGATAAGTCTATGACTGTCATCTAACTTCTTCAAGGAATCCTGGGTAACAAAACAATACCAATAGTGATACACAAACCATAGCAAATATTGGCCTCAAGGTTGTAAAACGTTTTTCCAGAAATCTGCCTCAAGTAGTACATCACTGAAGTTTGTACAAAACTAAATATTCATATTTTCAACACAGATGCCTTCCATTATAATTCTGCTCGAATAGTCTAGTCTTCAGGCAAAATTATTCTCTTAATCTATTAGTTGTTTTTTTATCACTTAAAATATATCTTATTTAAGGCTTTATTATAATGTAATACCCAATATTTCTCCTTCCAGGAATTTTTGTCTTTATCAAGGCTGCTGAAGTTCTCTTCAAGCTAAAGAGACAAACACATATTATTATGTTACATGCTAAAAAATTGTGATTATTAAAGGAACTCCACTGTAGTCCAAAAGCCTAAAACAACATTTGAATTTCTTTGATACTTGTAAATCAACTGGGGCACTTAAAATGGAAAGATATGTAAAGAAAGTAATGAAGTATACTTGAATTGAGTATCTTATTTGTGCTTTATAATTATTCTAGAAAGCTCAGTAAGCAATTGTTCTGAAAATTTGCACGCTTACTATTGGTACAGACCTACATCAAATGGTACATAAATCTGAAAAAATCCAGTCACTTTAAAAAATGGGCTTATTTTTCATTTAGCAACAGTATTTTGTAATGTTATCAAATTGGTGTGTACAATTAAATATTGAAAATTGAAGAGTTGATGACAATTTACTTAAGAGCAAAATCAAAACAAAACCATTTATACTTTATTAACAAGCTCCTTCAGTCTTTTGACCTCATTCTCCAATTCAGCCTTTCTATCTAGTTCTTGATCTGGTTCAACTTTGACCTTGACCTTTATATCCAGCAGCTCCTGGGTGACCTTGAGGAGGTCAGCTTCTTTCATGTCTAGAATACATTTCTGGTGACTGTTCTGGTACTGAAGATTCTTGTTCAGATTTTGGACATGTTTCACTGAAAAAAATATAAATATATTCCAATATAAAATTCAAAATAGTCTATATGTATATACTTGGTAAGAGATGTTTTTATTTTAACAAATAGTAACAAATCCGGTTAATTTACTAATAGTAAAAACTGATCCATGTGCATGATATAACAGACACAAATTACAGTTTTAGACAAGTACAACTCTTATAAAGTTTCAAAAAGTTCTCTTTAAGTTATAATCTTTTGAAAATAACACTGACTTTATCAATTATATCAAATATTAAATCAAACTAAGACCAGAAGAAGGAGAAGACAATGAAGGAAAAGAAACAGAAGCAGAAAATAAGAAGGAGAGAAGGAAAAGGAAGCCATATAAAGATATATCTTTTTGGGCTATAGATACAATTAATTTAGGGGCCTCTGTGGCCTAGTGGTAATGGCTACAGACACTAAATGAGTTGCCCCACACTCTTGTCATTTCAAATATTGCATTAGAAAAACTATCCGGTCTGTTTATTAAGACATTGGTGTTTCTAACCTGGGCTGGGTCTTACCAACAGTCTTATGATTTTCAAAATCACTATGATTGTTGTTTGCTAGATTGTAAGACCATATTACATAACCCATCGTACAAACAACCAGTAGACATATGATTTTTACTAGTGTCTGATTACCACAAGGACAATATAAAGCTATGGTGAAAATACAATGTAGATATAGATAAGAAAAGATGGACCATAAAAAATGTGAAAATTGTTAAGCGGGCAAAAGCAGAACACAAATGAAACACACATAAAATGTTTTCAATGAGTTTTCACTATAACTCACAAGGATGAATAAAGCAAAATTCTATAATATATAACCTAAATGTACAAATTATCATACTTTTCTTGTCAGTTTTTCAAGACAGATATTGTTTACATGTATGTCTTTCAATTGACAGGTGCAGCACTTTGGCAGGCTTTATGGTTTTTATATACTTTGTTTTCAGGATTTATGGTTTTTATACACTTACTTTTGCAGGATTTATGGTTTTTTATAGACTTACTATAGCAGGATTTATGGTTTTTACAGACTTCAAACATCAGGACAATAAATTTTATCAAGATATCAACTTATGTTAACTTATCGACATGCACAGACAATAAATTACATACAGCCATATCTTTTAACAGTATCAAGAGAATCTTAAATACATTTACAATCCTTAAAGAAGCATTAAAACACAGATAATGTTTTCTTAGGTAAAGTATAAATTATATATCTCCTATGTAAATAGATTTTAAAAATTCCATACAACTAATAATATATTTTCTTAAGATAAATGTTAATTTTTTTCTAATATTATACAAAGTACTGTCACAACTGCATATGATGATCAGATTGGAACCTTACATAAACATGTTATATACATGTAAAAAAATAATTCTTATGTAACAATGATAAAGAGTATAGGCTGTCTAATAAAATAAAGTATGAAATAATTGTATAAATGTTTGCATAAGGCTTAAAAATCTGTCTCCAAAAGCTTGATATGCTTAAAACAACAATTATTTAATACAGCTTACATATATATTATTACATAGAATCTCTAGTCAGCTGATTCCAAACATTTTTTTTTCCACATCTTTTAATATAGACATTTATGTTTTGTTACAGAATAAATATATATTTTATCTATGTGGATTTTCTCTCTATTACCTTTTTTGGGGCATATTTTCTGTTTAAAGAAAACTGAAAAGTGGCTTTGAGAACTTGTAACCTTCACTTGTTCAGTCTCTTGCGAAGCAGGCCATTTTTCTATTATAATAATAGATCAAAATGAGACAAGAGCCATGTCAACATGGCCATCCCCCGCCGATTGTGTTTGCTCATTGGAAGAATGTATAGGTAGTAGAGCAGAATAATTCAATTTTAAAGCAGCACGCCTCCAGATTCATGCTAATTTTCATGAAAATTTTGAAAATGTGTTTTAAAGTATAATTCAGTAAAATAACCAAAAGGAAGCACTTAACACATTATCAATGACACTTACAACCCACGTAAATTACTAAAAAGAGGTCAAAATATGCAAAATAGCCATTACTGCGTTAGTAACGCTGTAGAAATATAGTTATGAATACTGAAAAATCGGTCACTAATCGCACATAACATGTAAATTATTACTAGAACTTTGAATCTTTATACTTTTCCTAAAATCTTAGTACATTTTTCTCAGGTTTGACTTCCTTGAAATAATTTTGCTCATCTGGAGGCATCCAGCTTTAAGAGGTCTTTTGGTAATGAAAACTGATGGCTGAAGTGATAACAGATTTGAAACCTATGTGAATACTGATGGCTGAAATTAACAAAGGGCAATAACTGTATAAAAATAATGCAGGGTAGGTTATCATTCTTGTGTGCTGCACCTCTCCTCAGTAAAATCTATCCACCTATGGAGTTTCAAGTTGATACCTCAAATATTTTTTGAGATAAGCTCCGGACAAAATAGTATGAAAAAGAACAAAGGGCAAAAACTCAAAAATTATATAGAGAAGAGTTATCATTCTAGCGCACAGCATTCCTGCTCAATAAGATCTATCCATCTATGACATTTCATGTTGACATCTCAAACACTTTTGAGTAATGCTCCACTCAGGTGAAAAATTAAGTATGAAAAACAACAAAGGGCAATAACTTAAAAATTATGAAAAGTAGAGTTATCATTCTTGTGCACTGCACACCTCCTGAGTGAGATCTATGCACCTATGAAGTTTCAAGTTGATATCTCAAAGGCTTTTTGAGTTATGCTCTAGACAAAAATTAATATTGAAAAATAACAAAGGGCAATAACTCAAAAATTATGCAGGAAATGGTTATCATTCTTGTGCACTGCACTCCCCCTCAATGAGATCCATCCACCTATGAAGTTTCAAGTTGATACCTCAAATACTTTTTGAGATAAGCTCCGGACAAAATAGTATGAAAAAGAACAAAGGGCAATAACTCAAAAATTATATAGGAAAGAGTTATCACTTGCTCACAGCATTCCTCCTCAATAAGATCTATCCACCTATGACATTTCATTTTGACATCTCAAACACTTTTTGAGTTATGCTCCACTCAGGTGAAAAGTTAAGTATGAAAAATTACAAAGGGCAATAACTCAAAAAAGATGAAAGGTAGAGTTATCATTCTTGTGCACTGCACACCTCCTAAGTGAGATCTATGCACCTATGAAGTTTCATGTTGATATCTCAAAAGCTTTTTGAGTTATGCTCTGGACAAAAATTAATTTTGAAAAATAACAAAGGGCAATAACTCAAAAATTATGCAGGATAGAGTTATCACGCTTGTGCACTGCACTCCTCCTCAATGAGGTCCATCCATCTATGAAGTTTCAAGTTGATACCTTGAATACTTTTTGAGATAAGCTCTGGACAAAATAGTATGAAAAAGAACAAAGGGCAATAACTCACAAATTATATAGGAAAGAGTTATCATTCTTGTGCACAGCATTCCTCCTCAATAAGATCTATCCACCTAGGACATTTCATGTTGACATCTCAAACACTTTTTGAGTTATGCTCCACTCAGGTGAAAAATTAAGTATGAAAAATAACAAAGGGACAATAACTCAAAAATTATGAAAAGTAGAGTTATCATTCTTGTGCACTGCACACCTCCTGAGTGAGATCTATGCGCCTATGAAGTTTCATGATGGTATCTCAAAGGCTTTTTGAGTTATGCTCTGGACAAAAATTATTTTTGAAAAATAACAAAGGGCAATAACTCAAAAATTATGCAGGAAAGAGTTATCACGCTTGTGCACTGCACTCCTCCTCAATGAGGTCTATGCGCCTATGAAGTTTCAAGTTGATATCTCAAATACTTTTTGAGATATGCTCCGGACAAAAATGTCGGACGGACGGACGGACAGACGGAGACTATTTTCTTTATATAAAAAAACCCACTTTTTCCATATGGCAGAGTATCTCCATTGCTCCATTTGATCTAAGTATGTCAGTTTTCAAATTCTACAGTATTATGTCCTAAGGACCTCAGTCGAGCTCCTTTAATTAATTAATAAAGTGCAACAGACTTCAGTCAAACCTGAGTTAAAGACCATCTCTTGATAAAGATCACCCTGTAAGTAAAAGACCACTCTTTGACAAACCCTTATTGATTATAAAGAACAAAATAACATCCAAATAAAGACCACTTGTTTATAAAAGACATTGGGTTTCTCCCTTGGATGGCCTATGTTCACAGGGTTTACTGTATTTGTGTTTATTTAAGACAGCACAACTGTATTATTTAATACATAGCTGTATTGAAAAAAGGTGATACATACGATAAACACCTATTATCAATACCATTCATTATCATGGCTGTTCAAAATCAATGTTACGATCTTTTATAATGGATTCACGCAATTAAGACTGTAATTAAATTTCCGTAAATTGAATACTAAACTATCCAATACTGTGAAGCACGCCCATTTAACTTATTTCTGAAAATCACTCTAAATGCCTGGGTATTTAAAAATGCAATAACAAAACAGGAGGACCTGTTCAATGTATTTCTACTCGATATATAAATTAGCTATCAAGCATGGTGATTTAAAAGCCGGACTGATATATCAGTAAACTTCAATTAAGACAATCAAAAAAATATCCTATCGTTCAATTGAAATAGGCAATTTACATCTACCATTATAGAACTACAGAGGGCGAAAAAAACAATGGAATTATAAACCTAATATCAATGCATGGCGTACAAAAGGACAATATTTTAATGAATACAAGAATATTTCTATCTCTCAGATTGGAATGATTTGATAAGTTTTTGTACAAACAGTAATACTTGAGTTGTTAGATATAAGAATATCAATAAAATGGGTCTAACTTGATCGAAATTTGTCTCCATTTATAGCAATGGAGAGAAAATGGGACTTATTTCAATGTCACTAGGTAAGTGCCTTCATTTTTATTTAATAGTACATAATTTTCTTCATTCAAATTTGAATAAAAGAGCACTTTTCAACTGGCAGTTGCCTCGATCTTCCTCTATAAAAGCAATATCAATCAACAGGTATGTAAAGAATACCAGTTACAAATTGACTTTTACTTGCATGGGAATAAAAAAAGGGATATAAGACATTCTATTATATACAAAATTAACTTATACAGATGACAACCCCCCAGCCCCCCTCCCCTGGCTGACAACTGAATTCATGCTAAAAAATCAAATTTATGTAATTAATATTTGTACTGTACTGAACAATTAATTATTGAATTCAATTCTGTATTGAATTATTATTTCATTATTGTTCTGTATTGAAAAATGGAACAATCAATTATTAACTTTAAATATCAGTGTTATTAACTTTAAATATCAGTTACAAGGGTTTTTAATTACTATGAAAACTCAAACAGAAATTATGTAGCCCCTCCAAGTCTGGCCATTTTTCCAAAATGTTCTTTTCAGCCATCCTGGCTGGGACAGTGTAGTGCTTGCATGCTATACATTACAATTACCATTACTAACACTCCACAGGTAATGCTTATCAAAACTTCAAGGGAGGTCTTTTCTAATTTAATTAATTCATGACCAGATCTTTTCAAACGAATATCAATAGAAATAGAAGCACTCTCAAATTCTATAATTATGTTAAAAAAAATTGAAATCTGTGAAATTTATTGAGAAATAAATTACTTATATTATATTATAACTATGACAGCTTTTACTTCACAAGAATTAAATAATTTAAAAAAATTACTGAAAAGCAACCAGGCAGGTAAGAAATCAATACATTTCTTTTAATTCAAAGCATACTTTAAGAGTGTAAGCAATTGGTAATGAATGATCTATGCCATACTTAAGTCTTCAATTAGCACTTATTTTAAAATTTTCCCTAAAAAATCTATTTTGAAAGAAAGACAAGTCCATTTGATAAATTAAAAAGCATGTCCTGGGTGTTAAAAATCTTTTTTTTAACCAGATGGAACCGGATGTATTTGGCCTTTGCCACTTTAAGAGTTGAGCCAAGCCAGCCGGCATATCCCCTCAGTCTGGCCAAGTTCAATAAAGATTGTTAACCAACTTTAAACTTTCATCTAGATGTCTTGGTTTAGAACTGTTCATCATATAGGGAAGAAGATGTGTAAGCAACGTATAGCTGTGGTAGAGCCTCGGAATGGTATCCCAAGAGTCCCAGGTTCGAGTCCCTGTCAGGATGCACATTTTTCTCCCCATGTGACATTGATAAACCTTAAATTGAATAAGTGATAGTTCCTAAAAATTAAAGAGACTGGATAGGCCCATATAAGGCATTCAGCAATTTAAGGGTTAATTTTCACAAAAAACTAGAAATGTGTCCATAGGACATGGATGCCCCCACACGCCACTGTTCTGTCAATCTTATGACTCTAGGTCAAATATTTTTTGGACTACATGTGCCACAAGTTGAAAACTAAAAATCAACAAAGGGCCATAATTCTGTTAAATTTGGTCGCAGCAAAAATTCCTTCCTTTACTACCATCTACACATTAAGGTTGTTCATCCCTGTAAGTTAAAGCAAAATCTGCCAACCGGTTTAAGAGGAGTTGCGTTCACAAAATTTCTACAAAGTATCTAGTGAAAAAATCAACAAAGGGCCATAATTCTGTTAAATTTGGTCGCAGCAAAAATTCCTTCCTTTACTACCATCTACACATTAAGGTTGTTCATCCCTGTAAGTTTAAGCAAAATCTGCCATCCGGTTTAAGAGGAGTTGCGTTCACAAGATTTCGGGACATACGGACGGACGGACTGACTGACGGATTGACGGACGGACAAGTGCAACGCTATATGCTCCCACATTGTGGGGGCATAAAAATAGAATTAGTTTGAAACAATGCATGACCATGCTGCTTTAATTCAAAACTTTTTTTAATTATTAAGAACACATATGCATGTTTTTTCAATAATCTCTTGAGAAAATGTCTGCAGCAACTCCTGTTTGTTATAATAAGAAAAATATAATGTTACACCCATGTTAAACAAATTTCTTTTATCCACATGTTGAAAAGACGATTGACATAGCTTTTAATTAAGCCATTTGCCTTGTACTCGAAAGTACTTGATCCGTCTGAAAACTTTAACGACCTTCTATGACAATCATTGGCCTGATCTTTTGATTGAGATATCATTTAACAATCTATTTACACTATCTAACAACCCCCCCCCTCTCAACATTTTAGTGTCATTTTGGTTTTGTAAAAAAGGGGTTTTAATGGTAGATATAGAAATAGCCATAAAATATATTTTATCAATATCCAGATATCAAATGTTCAAGTGTTTTTACATTGGCAAGTGCGATATGGATTTTTAAAAAAATAAAATAACTTAGGATATTATAGCATTATATATCATGATATAAAATGATATCATGCTGTAAAAATATGCCATTAGATTAAAGTAACGAAAATAATATATGATCTTCCTGAGTTAAGGACTTATCAGGTATTTTAAAAGTCAATAATAAAATATATACAAAGTAAAATTTAAGGTGTTGTGGAAAGAATCTAAGAAATTAACATTAAAACGATTTACTTTTGCAAAGAAATCAGTCATATTAATTCTAAGCATAAGTGAAAAACAAAAGACAAATTTATATCTTTTTATCGAATTCAATAAATTCATCTTCACTGATCATAGCTTAAATTTTTGTTTTTTCACTTTCAGATTTCTCAACTGGATATCAAATAAAAGATGACAATGTTATATGTGTGAGATGGATTTAAGACGTTTAAACATGCATCCATTACCAACATCTCAACATTTTTCAAATATACGTACAGACGATGACATAACTGCTGCCGTAACAAACTTCTTGCACAATGAAGGCTCGAACCTTCACGGCAAAACCTGGCAGGATACAACTGCTGAAGTCACTAAATGGCTTGCAAGTCAGATCCAACGCGAGCGTGAGGGTTGGCGTCAAAAGACCCGTGCAGCCATGCAAGAGATCGAGAATCATCGGAAAGAAGTGCTGAAATTTCAAGCAATTATTCAGGAGTCAGTTGAACACATGAAAATTCTTGTAGAATGTTGTAACCTACCGGAAGAGACCATTTCTCAGATATCTGAACAAGAACCGAGACGGGCACTACCAATGTATATAGAATGTTTAACGGAAACTTTAAACTCGTTGATGGAAGATAGGATTCTTTGTCTACAGATTTTAAAAGCAGACGAGAGGTCATCACAAGCTAGTTTACCTAGTCTACTTAAAGCTTATATTGAGGCTTTAAAACACCATGCCGAACGGGCTCATAAAGAGGCCAAGAACAGACTTGAATCTCTTGAGTCGGTTAATAAACATAGTTTCTCTGAACTTGCAAAGATGAAAAAAGCTATTCATAGGAAACAAGAAGAAGTTGAAAAACTACATTCTAAACTGCAAGAAATTCAGGAAGTTACAATGAAAAAGTTTAAAGAAGTGAATGACATACAAATTACAAAAGATGATAGGGAATTTGATGATCAATCTTCTCAAACTGACTTTCCGATAACATCTAAAACAAAATCAAATGAACGCCATTCTTCCCCATCATCTTTGTATAGTGCTCCAACACCAGTTCCACCAGCTGACCAGAAAAATATACATATTTCTGCAGAGAGACTGTCTAAATTACGTAGAAGTGCCAAAAAGCTTGAAAACTCTCTGAATGATGCTCTGTCCCAAATGGACACGTTCCGTAGTGGAATGAAACCCACAAAAGTCACTCAATCAAATATGTTCGGTACTCCAAGACCTTTCGGTCTACAAAACCTTCCCGATGTTCCTGCAAACCTCAAAAAAGAAATGAAACTCTTACCATCGCCAATGCACATGTGGTCGACAAAATTTGAAATCAGCGGACCAAAAGTTCATGATGCGGAACTTGAACAAATTAAGCAAATCGAAAGAGAAAAGGAAGAGCGTAAAAGAAAAGCGAAAGAAAAGAGAAGGGAGGCTATTCAGAACAGTCAAGAGAGGCTTGTTCATTCGCAGCAAGAAGTGCCAACATTTCGATCTTTGATGAAATCATTAGATGAAGTAAAGAAGACCAAAGGGCGAAATGTAAAACCAGTTGGACAAGTAACAAAATGTCTTAGGTGTAATAAATTGTTTACATTAAATGATAACCACAAAAAATCTTGCAACTATCATCCTAAAGGTAAGGAAAGAATAGAGCAGTATTCGGACAGGGGAAAGCTAGTGAAGGTTACTTATGTTTGGAAATGTTGTATGATGGGGCCAGATAACCCAGGATGTACATACGGACAACATGTCTAGTGCGCTTAAACAATTCTATTATAAATTTTAGGATATTTAATGGTTTCCATGATTTTTTTTCTTTATCAACATAATTTTTTTTATTACACAATTTGTTTGCCTCTGAGGTTAACATTTTGGCATAATTTAAAACACCTTAAATATTTCAATTTGTACTAAGTTTTTTGACATGTTTATCTCATCAAACATTTCTTTTTCATTTGACAGAATCATGCAACGTTCAGTATTGATCTAATGCATAAATGATGTTTTCATACAAACTATCTTGTTCAACAAAAAAAGATTCAATAACGGTTCATTAAAAAAGTATGAAGTCAACATTTTGGCATAAGTTTATTGTCATATTTATCTCATCTGTTTTCTTTTGAAAGAATTATGCAATGTATCGTCTTGATCTACCATAAAATTCCTATTAAACGCCCCCGGGGGCTAAACATTTTCCAAAAGGGGGGCTATTATTACAACACGTTTTTCTTAAATCCAAAAATCATTGAAAATACATTTAGTGTAACATGGGTTGGTAATAACATTAAAATGTGTTAAGATTTTAAAGTTCATGTGATACATTTTTGTGTTTACTATGAAATTAAATGGATTCTGAAGGAGTTGAATAAAATTACGGATTTATGAGCAGATTTTTTTCCATATAAAAAAGCCAGGGGGGGGGGGGGGGGGGTCTTTTATTAGGGGAGGGGCGTTTAATAGGAATTTTACGGAATATGCAGAAATTATGTTTAAAGGCACACAATTTGAGATATATACAAGAAAAGCAATAATTTTTTATTTTTCTGAAATTCATCACAAATAACTATAATGATTTCATAAACACCTTAATTATATTCATGATAAGATGAAAGAGTTGAAAAAGAACTTTTCGAAAGAACATGCTGAAAGAGAATTAATCATACTAGAAAATTCAGTAACAAATGAAGATATTTTTTCTTAATATTTTACAATATCATTACATAGTATGCATAGTTATTTTATTTACTTTTTTCACATGACAAAGAAATTGCTTTTTGACACAAACTGAATGTTTCATAGAACTAAATTAAATGCTTTTCATTCAAAGTGTGTAATAGTTTATTTTATAAACTTAAACTTAAATACCTTGTATATAATAAACTGAAATGTAGAGATTTCATGGAATAAGATACGATTAGCTATTGAAATATTTATTGTGGCAAACGTGTATTGTGTATGTCTTTCATAATTTATTGCCTGTTTTTTTATGTAAAGAAATCTATAACAGAATCGTTTGACATTCAAGAACCTCAAGTAGGTTTTTTTTTTCATTCAAATTAAATTGCCTATCATTTATAAAAGCAAGCCTTGGGTTATTTACAGTAACGTCAATATAACTTTTTTTCATAGCTAATAAAATAAAAGCTTTAAATAAAATGCTTTAAAGGTGACCTGAGTCCATAGTTCCAACTTTTATGATACCTGTGATGTATTATTTAAAACTAAACATTATGTCTTATTTGGGTGAACCCCCACCCCCCCCCCCCCCCCCCCCCCCCCCCCCAAAAAAAACAACAGACAACTTTGTTTCTTTACGGAATGAAGAATTCTTTTCGGTCATTGTTTAAGTATGAAGATTTTAGTGAATATCCACTCTATGGAATTAAAGCTGCTTGCCTACAAATGAGCTAAAATGTATACAAGAAAATTAAACCTGAGAAAAATGAACCCTAATATTTTAAGAAAAGTAAAAAGATTTAAGATTCAAGTAATAATTTAAATGTTACCTTCAGGTCAGGACATAATTATTTTGCAGTATTTATCACCATATTTTTACTGAGTTACTAATGCCAACAAGACTATTTTTGCTAATTTTGACCTCTTTTTGGTTATTTATATGGATTACAAGTGCTGCTTGCAATATGTAAATTATCGGCTTTGTTCAATTCACAATATTTTACTTTTTGAATATATTTTTCAAATTTTCATGAAAAGTAGCATGAATCTGGAGGCATGCGGCTTTAAATATTCACCTCATAATCATACAATAATAATGTAATATAAAATATAGGAAATTTTAAGTGTTAAAGTGCGAGTCAAGTTTATTGTAAATCAATATTCATATCATTTCACCTTAAACTTACTTAATTTTCTTAAATGGACTTGTCCAGCATTTATTCTTGGACCTGTTCATTTTTCATATTTGGGGATATTAAGATGAAAATTTGAGCTTGGTGACAGCCAACAGAAAAGAGCCTTGGCAGACTGCACTTTTAAGCAGGTCAGACTCTGTACTGGTGACAAAGGCTTAGCACTTTTGGTTCCAACAGTATAAGGGTTAAATTAATTTTGGGCTATATTTAATCTCACAGTATTTTCTTTTTCTGCTAGAACAATAAAATACTATGACACCTATACAAGTGACCTAGGTTGTAAAACTTTTTCCTATCGATTTCTTAAAAAAGCATTTTCCTTCAAAGTTCTCAAAAAAATAATTGTATGTATGTATGTATTCTAGGCACTGAGAGTACGGACCCCAGACATGTCACCATTCATGTCCTTTAATGTTATTATCAACCAAAAGATGACTTATAAATTTTGAATTCAGTAATTCACTCAATGATTCTAAATATGTAGATCTAACTATGCAAGTCGATTTTTGTGATAATACTATTTCAATGCATGGTAGGCCAATGAGACCATTTTATGCATCATGGAGAAACATAAATGATGAGCTTGACTGACTGATAAAATTATGCAACTCGGACTGCTACATGACACATATTTTCCGTATGCTGGCCAACATTGGTTGCTTTATACAAGTTTTATGTTGGTCATTCTTCAGTGATTTTGTTTTTCTCTATTTCAGTATATTTCCAGGTTTTAATTAGTTAAAAGCAGTTTCTGTTTAAAGGTATCTTCTATTTACAATTAATTTTGAACTAGGATCACCATTTCCATCTCTTCATCATTTATTTCGGAAGAGCTTGGCTTCAAGTGGTAAATAAAGGGTGATAATAAACATCAGGTATGTTTAGAAACGTTTATGTACTGCTAGGATTACTTCCCCTGTACATTATAATTGTAACAGCAATTAATTGTTCTTACTTTGTACTACACTTATCAGTATTATTGTTTTGTTGTTTTTTTTGCAAAACTGAATTCTTCTATTGTAGAAATACAATTGAAAATTATAATTCAATGTTAATAAAGAATATAACTTCATATGTCTCTGTTTTTCTTACAATTTCATTTTTTCTGACTGTTTCTTAGTTGTTTATATTTAGGACATAATTTTATGAAGTAAGATTTTAGCACTAATTTTGAATACTGACACGCCTACACCAACTAAAACCAACAAGAAGGTCATTATAATAGCTCCACCTTTTTTCTTGGAAAAGTGGAGATTAGAATAAATCTAATCAGACTTCACTAATGTTAGGCAGCAATATATGAATTTATACATGTAAGTAAAAAAATCTGACAAAAAAAGGGGACCCCTCGTAGGCAATGAAAACAACAAAAACAAGAGCTGGTTGAACCGGGTGATGCTCCACGGATAGGTTTTGGACACAGGAAGGTATACCTCTTGTAGTGTCAGAGTTATGTCACAGACAAAGTTCAAAGTGTATAAACAACCCAAATCACCATACCAAGTTTGAAGTTCCTAGGCCTAAGTGTTCTTTATTTATTGATTGGAAACCCTTTTTACTTACATGGTCAATGTGACCTTGACCTTTGACCCCTTGACCCCAAGATCAATAGGGGTCATCTGGTGGTCATGACCAATCACCATACCAAGTTTGAATTTCCTAGGCCTAAGCGTTCTTTAGTTATTGATCGTAAACCGTTTTTACCTACAAGGTCAATGTGACCTTGACCCCAAAATCAATAGGGGTCATCTGCTGGTCATGACCAATCACCATACCAAGTTTGAAGTTCCTTAGGCCTAAGTGTTCTTTATTTATTGATTGGAAACCCTTTTTACTTACATGGTCAATGTGACCTTGACCTTTGACCCCAAGATCAATAGGGGTCATCTGGTGGTCATGACCAATCACCATACCAAGTTTGAATTTCCTAGGCCTAAGCGTTCTTTAGTTATTGATCGTAAACCGTTTTTACCTACAAGGTCAATGTGACCTTGACCCCAAAATCAATAGGGGTCATCTGCTGGTCATGACCAATCACCATACCAAGTTTGAAGTTCCTTAGGCCTTAGGGTTCTTTAGTTATTGATCGGAAACCGTTTTTACCTACAAGGTCAATGTGACCTTGACCTTTGACCCCAAAATCAATAGGGGTCATCTGCTGGTCATGACCAATCACCATATCTAGTTTGAAGTTCCTAGGCCTAAGCGTTCCTAGTTATTGATCGGAAACCGTTTTTACCTACAAGGTCAATGTGACCTTGACCTTTGACCCCTTGACCCCAAAATCAATAGGGGTCATTTGCTGGTCATGACCAATCACCATACCAAGTTTGAAGTTCCTAGGCCTAAGCGTTCTTTAGTTATTGATCGGAAACCTTTTTTACCTACAAGGTCAATGTGACCTTGACCATTGACCCCTTGATCCCAAAATTAATAGGGGTCATCTGCTGATCATGACCAATCACTATACCAAGTTTGAAGTTCCTAGGCCTAAGCGTTCTTTAGTTATTGATCGGAAACCAAATTCGGGACGTACATACGGACGGACTGACGGACGGACAACCTGACGACTATATGCTCCCCCGAAATTTTTCGGGGAGCATAATTACATGAAAATCGCCAAATTGGTTTCATTGAGTCTGTTCATGAGAGATAATGGAAAAGTGCAAGGAGCTTTAGAGGTATTCACTCTTCAATACTTAATGTGCTGGAATCAACAATCATAAAGGACCAGAAAATATAACTACACTGAATTGAACTGAAGTACAGAAGTAATACATACACCTCTTCAAACAAAAAAAAGATGGCAGGCATTATTACATTTTTTCTTGGACACCATGATACAATATGACTCTATCATTAAGTAACTGGTTATGGCCCCACAATTGTGTTCAAAGAGTATTTGAAAACATTTGTTTTTTTTTAAAAACAGCATAATATGTTATTGAACAGTTTTTTTCCCCCAGGATTTTGGGAACATATGACCCATACTCATGGAATTGGGAATTTCAGCGATGTTTTGTTAAAATTTGGGAAAAAATGCATGACTTAAATGTTGCAGTGAATAAAAATGCAAGAAATCACTGTCTAGGATGGCATCTTCAAACATTTAAGCACCATAACAGTGAAGAAGCACTTATTTTCAAAGATTTTAGAATTTGTTATTCAATATTTTGATTTTGTAACTTTCAATTGCAAATTTTTTCCTGTGGATTGGGAAAAATAATATACAATTTTCAATTGGGAATATGACCCAATATCGACTATAATATATTATGCAAAAAAAAAATCCTTGTTGAATACAAAAACAAGATACTTAATGATACTGTACTTTTATAAACCAACCATGTATAGGTATAGAACGGATGACCAAGGCAGAGACAACTCTTGACAACCAATGCACCTTAGATGGACAGAGTAATCTCCTTTGGTATCAATATTTATATCTTTTTCATAATTTTCTTTTGAATAAGATAAATTTGTAATATTTTTTATTTTACAATGTCATCTAAGATCCATTTTTCTTGAGC